TTCTTCAGCACCTATGAGAATAGACCGAGACATCTGAAAATGCAATCTGGTCTAATAAAGAAAGCCATAGAACTGAAGAAGGAATTAGAATTTCCATGACAAACCAAAAAGCCTCTCTCTCTCCATGAACCCATTGGCAGACACTGATGTAGTGTGTTGCACCCAACTGCTCGACTTCTTCAGGAAATCAAACACCCCTCCGTAACAATTGCGCTCACTGGCCCTTGAGATAATCAATGCCAACTATCCTGCAGATCAATGGCTCCAAGTCTTCACTGATGGGTCATACATAGAAAACTAAGCAAACGTTGGTGCAGGTGTCTTTTCTGAACTCCTCTCTTTCTACGCAGCAGCGGGACAGAATAGATCTGCTTTCGAAGGAGAAATAGAGGCCATTAGGATAGCACTAAGCCAATTATGTTGCCTGGATACGAAATTCACCAAAGCGGTGATACTTTCGGACTCACAGTCAGCAATAAACTCAATTGGAAACAGAGAGCCACCCAAAACAGCTGAGATAAAGGAATGTCGAAAACTGTATGAGCTGCTGAGAGAGAAAAACAAAAGAGTGGTTCTACAATGGATTCCTGGTCACTGTGGCATTAAAGGCAATAAGATTGCTGACACACTTGCTAAGAAGGGGACAACAATTTTTCAATGCATGGACCGGCCCATGTCTTTCCACACAATGAAGGCCTTAATCAGAAGAGAATTCCAGACCTCAAGGTGCAACGAACTTAAAGCTCGAACAAAGGAGAAACAGTGGACAGTGGCACTCTCCGACATACCCGACTGGCCAAGAATCGAAGCCGTTGCTGAGTTTAGACTACACACCGGACACGATTGCTTGACAAAACATCTTCACAGATTGGGAGTATACACTCAACCCACATGCCCTCTATGTAACCTACAGGAGGAAATGGAGAAGACCCACCTGATTCGATATCCAGTTCCAAAGACAACGACGGAAAGCCAGAGATACTGGGAAGCAAAAAGACAGCTAATGAACTGCTATTAATTAACTGCTATAAATGTACCCCCCCCCCCCATGGGGGAAGCTGATGTCAAAGTTTAAGGGCTAATGATAAATATCACAAATCCTGCCATTTGAAATAAAAAAATATATCTTAACCACGCAATAAATCGATATTTCAACCACTTTCATTTTCCTTCCACTTATCTGCATTGTATTGACTTGTAATTTCAGTTGAAGTTCTTGATTTAATTTAATTACAGTTAGGCAAAAATACATTATGATGGCATGTTTATTTAGAAAACATGCCTTACTATAATTGCGTAAGGCTGAATAAAAACATGGTTTAGAAATGAAACAATATAGAATCCGAACTTTAGTAATAAAGTTCACTAGTTCTGAATTGATCAATTGTCATCCATACTATTGCATTTAATTGCTCTGCAATTGTCCCCACCTGACAGCATTCCGTCGAACCCCTTCCTAATATTCCAATGTACTAGTAATTTAACTTTCCAAGCAAAAGCTTACGAATGTAAACGTAGAAATAGGGCCACGAGTTTAAAACCCAATAATATTAAAGAGGCGTCTAATGACGCGATTAACTACGAAGTGTTTGAGAACTATACGGATTCAGAGTACTAACTGCGAATTGATACATGGCTTATCAAATAAACAAGTAGTGGTGGTTGTTTTCAAGGAAACAAGGTTGAATTACAATACCGGTATCATATTTCAGACTAAAATTAGCCAGTAGATAATAGAGAGTTGCCTTTTCTCCTCCTGGTGGGTGGAACTTTAGGCATTAAATTAAATGGCATAATTGTCCAGACCGTTTTTATTTCTATTGGGAGGGGAGGGGGCTAGACACTGGCTTTACCACTTGGCCAATGTGAATGAAAAAGGTAAGCATAAACTTTGCGAGTTTCACATCTACATGGAAATAATTCATAAGAAAAATTTTATTGCCTACCAAGAGTTTTGAGCTCTTTTTACTTCTATCCAAGTAAATAAATAAAAATATGAAAAAAGTTAATTGAAAG